GCGGGCTCAGGCAATCCGCTCACCTCAGCCTCCCAAAGGCACAGGATTACAGGCTGAGCCGCCGAGCCCGGCTACATCTTCATTTTTAAAGACACTTGTAGGAGGGAGATTTACACACAGAGTGTTCTCTTAACAAGTCTGTACTCTCAGCCTGTAATCCCAGCACTTTGGGTGGCCAAGGTGAGTGTATAGCCTGAGCCCACTGGTTCGAGACCCACCTGGGCAACTTGGTGCGAGACTTTGTCTCTACAATAAATCAAAAATTAGCCAGGCATGGTAGCGCGCGCCTGTAGTTCCAGCTACTTGGAAGGCTAAGGCAGAAGGAGCACTAGAGCCCAGGAGGTCGAGGGTGTGGTAGCCGGGAGTGTGCCACTGCACTCCAGTCTGGGCAACAGAGGGAATAGTTAAACAAGGGAAACTAAGTTGGTCTTTATCGCCTGAATAAGTCAATGCAAGCAAATTTTTGTCAATTTTTAATTTTCTAGGATGTCCTTTGGTGGTAATATGACATGAAATTTTAGATTTTAAATCCTGAAACACCAAAGTAATTTTTGAATCCAGGTAAAATGCCTTTAATTTTTGGTGTAATTATGAAGAGTTTGGGTTATACTGTACTGAATAGCCATTTTTTGGTCCATTATGCTTCCTCTAAGTATCATGACTCTTTCGTTTCTTTTTTGAAAATCACTTCAGATTATTCCATCTCCTGGGGGCATCCAAATGCTGAAGCTTCCATTAAGGATGGTTTCATTTCTCCCCAAGTGCAATGTTCCCAAAGCAGAGGCAGATAAATCTCAAGTTTCTTATTTGTTCAGGAAGCCTTTTTTACCATCCAGTCTTGAAATATGAGTGAACCAGCCTCTTATTTGCTTTAAGCTCTCCTAGTTTTGAGGTCTCATATCAAATGAACAATTATTATCAGAGAAATAAGATTTATATAATCAGTTGTTCTTAAAGGTCTACAAATACTTTTGGTTGTTACAGCTGGTGGGACTACTGACATAGTAGTTAGAAGCCAGGGATATTGTTAAACATCTTACAGTGCTCAGTTCAGTGCCCCCACCCCCAACAAAGAATTATCTGGTCCAAAATGTCAGTAGTGCCAAGGTTGAGAAACTCTGATATATATGAAATAGCTGATGAATAGTATAGACAGTATAAAGCTCTTTACTGACTTGGGTGTTCCAAAAATGCTAAAGTAGTTCGAGATTAGGTCAGTTAGACTGAAATGATCTGGGAAGATTTCCTGGAGACAGGCTTTAAGCTGGAAACAAAGTACTGAATTTAGAATGAAGAACAGCAAACATGCCAATTGAAAGAAATAGCTTTAGCAGAGTCCCTAAGAGTAGACCAAGGCTTTGTGGAACACAAGAGGGAAAATCAATACAACGAGAGGCATAATTGATTAGGAAGGATGAAATGGCGAGATCAAATAATGGTTTTTTAATGGCAGGTTAGAAGTTTGGCCTTAAACTGTAGGAGCAAGAATCAAATAGGAGAGTAACATGGTGGGTATTTTAGAAAGACTAATAGTATTAGGTGTTTTAGGAGGACAGAATGGATTGGAGTAGAGAGAGCTAGCAGCAGGAGGTTCAAGTAGGATTCTTGGAATAATCACACTGGGTATAGTGGACACAGCCGCAATCCCAGCTACTTGGGAGGCTGAGGCAAGAGGATCTTTGCGCCCAGAAGTTCAAGGCTGCAGTGAACTATAGTTGCTCCATTGTGCTTCAGCCTAGACAATAGAGCAAGACTGCATATCTTTTTCTTTTTTTTTTTTTTGAGTTGGAGTCTCATTCTGTCGCCCAGACTGGAGTGCAGTGGCCACTCCTGGCCACCGCAGCCTCGACCTGCTGGGCTCCGGTGATCCTTCCGCCTCAGCCTTCTGAGTAGCCGGAATTACAGGCGTGCACTACCATGCCCAGCTAATTTTTTAATTTTATTGTAGAGATGATGTCTCGCCTGCCCAGGTGGGTCTCGAACCCGCGGACTCAGGCAATCCACTCACCTCAGCCTCCCAAGGCGCAGGATTACAGGCTGAGCCACCGAGCCCGGCAAGACTGCATATCTTAAAAAAAAAAATTGAAGTAATCTAAGTATGAACAATGAGTTCTGTGGTTGTAGCAGTATGAATGGAAAGACCATTTGTCTTTCCTTCTAGAAACTTTATATATGTATATTATTAGAAAATTATTTATTAGCATAAAGGTGATACTTGAAACAGAATGTGAACTCTGTGGAAAGTAGTGTAATAAAGAGGCTTAGGGACAGACTATAGTTAAAATTCTGGGGAGAAGAGGAGAGAAAGGAGGAAAAGTGAAATAATGTGGTGTCACGATAACCAAGAATTTTAAGATGGAGGCAGCCAGCAGTAACAGATGACTCTGAGACGAAGAATGAGGATTAAAACACAGCTATTTGATTTATTAAGAGGCACTTGATGACCTTGAAACATCCTTTTCAGTGGAAACGTAGGGACAGAGTCAAATTTCAGGGATTAGAGAGTAGAGGAACAATTAGTAAATGATAGCAGTAACTGAATGTCATTATCATTCACGAAAGGAGTTTGATCATAAAAGAAGGAAGGAAATGAGACAGTCTGGATCTATTTCTTATCTCTGGTGTATTTACTTCGTTTCCAGTTACAAAGGAACTGGTGGTATCTGCTGGAGAGAGTGTCCAGATAACCCTGCCTAAGAATGAAGTTCAATTAAATGCATATGTTCTCCAAGAACCACTTGAAGGTAAAAGTCCCTTACGTTTAGATAATTTTCTTTTTTTTTAAAGAAATGAAGTCTCACTATGTTACCCAGTCAGCCTGACTGCAAACACTTGGGCTCAAGCGATCTTCCCACCTCAGCCTCCCTTGTAGTTGGGACTATAGGCATACATCATCTTGCCCAGCTAGGATAACTTTTTTTATTTTGAGGTGGACTCTCACCCTGTCGCCTAGGTTGGAGTGCAGTGGCACACTCATGGCCACCCCAGCATCGACCTGCAGGGCTCTGGCAATCCTTCCAACTCAGTCTTCCAGATAGCTGTACTATAGGCGTGTGCTACCACACCCAGCTAATTTTTTGATTTTATTGTAGAGATGAGGTCTCACCAAGTTTCCAGGGCTGGTCTCGAACCCATGGGCTCAGGCACTTCTCTTGCCTTCCCTCCCAAAGTGCTGGGATTACAAGCTGAGCCACTGAGCCTGGCCTAGGATAACATTTTAATTTACAATAATATCTACATAACTCAACTCATTTACTCCTTACAGCAGTCCTGTGAGGATACAATATAGCCTGGGTATGCACTAATATTTATGGAATATGAGAGGTAATATAACACATGAGATCACAGGCTTTGTTGTCAAGCCTGAGTTTAAATTCCAACTCTGCCAGCCATTAGCTGTGTGATTTTAAGTAAATGACATAACTTCTCTTAATTTCCATTTCTTTTTCAGTAAGATGGGGGTAACAATTCCTACCTCATAAGGTTACTTTAAGGGCAAAATGAGGCCAGGTGCAGTGGCTCACACCTGGAGTCCCAGCACTTTGGGAGGCGGAGGTGAGAGGATTGCCTGAGTCCAGGGGTTCTCGACCAGCCTGGACAAGTTAGTGAGACCTCATTTCTACAATAAATCAAAAATATTAGCCGGGCGTGGTGGCACACACCTGTGGTTCCAGCTACTTGGAAGGCTGAGGTGGAAGGATCTCCTGAGCCTAGTAGGTTAAGGCTGTGGTGGTTGTGAGTGTGCCACTGTACTCCAGCCTGGGCAAGAGTGAGACTCGTACTCATAAAAAAAAAGAAAGGCAAAATGAGATAGTATATGATAGCAGTAGCTGAATATCTAGTCAGTGCCTAGGTTATTTGTGGCCACATGACTATATACATTGGCTCCAGTTCGGTGCCTAGCATATAGCTGATGCTTCTTAATGTAAAATTTGTTTATTAGTTTGTGTTATACTTATTTAAAGAGGAAGAAAGTGAGATTCAGATTAACCTGTTTATTTTGGCCAAATAACCAGTAGGTAGCAGATGTAGAACTTGGAGAGAAGTTATTCAAGACTACTGCTATGATAGATTTGTAACTTAAAAAGAAAAGGATTGAAAGTGGTGGTGCATGCCTGTAGTCCCAGCTACTTGGGAGGTTAAGATGGGAGGATTGCTTGAACCCAGGAACTTGATGCCAGTTTGAGCAACACTGTAAGACCTTGTCTCTGGGGGGCAAAAAAAAGAGAGAGAGAGATTAAACTTAATGTGATATACAAATCTAGATTTATAAAATATATAAACTAGGGGATTATTATTTAAGAAAACTTTGTAATATGAGCATCCCTTTTACTTTTGAAGTATATGTTAATATGCCAGAAGTTGACTTAAAAATACATGGATTCTCTCAAGTCTGTTTATGACATAAATGAAACATACTTGGATGGAAATTGATTGGGTTGGGTTTATGTTACGCTCATTAAAAAGTTAGTCAAGTAGAATGCCCTTCCCTTTTCAGGATGAGGTCCTGCCATTTTAGGTACACATATTTCCAACACAGTACTTCTAATTTTATGGATATGATACCAAATAGTGTATTTATGCAAAAAGTACTTTTTCAGGACCAAAATGCCTTCTCTCTTCTATTTTCTGCTCTCCAATTGAGATTTCCTTGTCAATTCATTTCACCTTGCTCTAGAGAAGTTTATTCCTTTCTTCCTCTGGTGGTAAGTTAAGGTGAATGGGTTTGGTGGCTTTTGGAGATAGAGATGAGGAAAGAACTGTGTTGAGCTGAGATTACTTCCTTTCTTTTTCTTTTTCTTTTTTTTTTTCTGAGTTGGAGTCTCATTCCATCGCCTAGGCTGGAGTGCTGTAGCATGCACACTCACAGCCACCCCAGTGTCGACCTGCTGGGCTTTGGGCATCCTTCTGCCTCAGCCTCCAAGTAGCTGGAACTACAGCATGCACTACCACACCCGGCTAATTTTTTATTTATTGTAGAAACGAGGTCTTGCCAAGTTGCCCAGGCTGGTCTTGAACCTGCAGGCTCAGGCAATTCACTTGCCTCAGCCTCCCAAAGTGCTGGGATTACAGGCTGAGTCACCGAGCCTGGCCTACTTCTTTCCTTTTGTGAACGATATGCGTGTCTCTACTGTATTTTCTTTCGTAACTTGTATTTGCATGTACACTTCTGTGAGTTACTGTCATCTTATAGATCAGTATCCCAAAACACATTAGTTCAGAAATAGCTTCTTTTAAATTCTTCTCTCCCCAGGTTCCTTAGCCTTTATCAGATATATGAGAGAGATGATTTCAATTTTTCAGAGGTTGGGAGTGATGAGACAGGACCAACTCTGTATGCTCTTTCTCTCCCTTCTGCTCTGTGGTAGCCCACTAGATCCCTCTAAGGATTCAGAGGTCCATTTTCAAAATCACTGTCCTAAATCACTACAACCAACATTCTGTCTGATAGACCTGTACTCAGTTGTTCCTACCCTTGGGCAAATTTCTGCCTATAAGGTGCAATTCATCCCCTGAGTTTTTCTGTCCTAGGAATATTGTCCTTTTTTGAAATTTGTTTTGCTAGCCTTAGATATTATAAAATTATCAGTTCCCAAACCAGTGAGGAAAACAACTTCCAACTGCAATTGGAAGAAATGTGTCTTAGCACCAGTCCTACTTCTGCTGCTTCCTTCCTGCTCTTCTCCTAACCTAACTTCTATGTCTATACATTTGTGAGCACTTCTGGTGCGTACAACCGGACAAAACAATACTAGTTTTGGGGGGAGGGAGAAGAAAGGAAGAAAGATCTTGTGTCCCAGGCTTATAAAATAAAATCTGGTCCTCAGATGAAAGATATCTTTGAATTAGGTTCTGTGTGTTAATTTTAACATTTGAACTCACAATGCAAGAATAAGATGGGGGGCACAACATCAATAAGGGTACCTGATCTCAAACCAGGCAAAGTAGAGACAAAAGGGAGGCCCAAACTTTTTACCTGTACGATGCCCACTTATATACCTAATCCTGATTTGCACCCTACATCTTTAAAATAAAATATATTTTAAAAATAAAAATAAAAAAGAAAGATGACTGCTGTCTACTAAGTATTTGCAGTTTATTTCTTTTTTCTCTTTCTTTTTTACTTTTGAATAGTAACTTAAACTAAACCTTCCTACCAAATCCCACCCTTCCTTAGCCAGAAATGCATTTTGTTCCCCAAAAGTTTAAGACCACTGTTTACCGTGAAGGGATTCCATTTAGATAATAGGATTCTACCCTTGCCCTGCCCAGTGATAGAGTCTGATCTGCAAATGCTTCATTTGATCTTAATTAATTTCAGTGGGGCCTGTTTTAAATGGGCCATTCCCTACCATCTTTTGCAGTGTGTTATTTAGCTCAGCAGGATGAAGTAGCTCTTTTAACTCACCAGGGTGTGATGACCTCAGTGAGAGGAGCATTGTTAGCACTCTGTAAAAAGCTATTTTTGAACCATGTTATTTAGAAGTCACTGCTGTTCTTTGTTACAAAAGAAGTTTTGCAAGAAAATGGCCTTTGTTCCCAATGAGTTCATCTGTAGTAGTTGATAGGACATGTATTTTCAGTGGTATGCCACACCATGACCAACCTGGTATTTTTTAAAGAGAATTGGCTCTGGGGAAGGTGGTTATGAGGCAGGAGTGAGTATTGTTGGCAGAGAGTTGGAAGAAGCTCTAACTGTAGCTGAGTCAACAGAATGAACTCTCTTTTGGCAGGGTTTGGTTTTCCTATAGGCTTTGGGGTGAAACCTTAAAAACTAAGGCCTTGTCAAGATTAGAAGAGATTTGTTATTGACAAGCTATGTGGCTGTCCTCTTAGTATGTAGGATTGTGTTTTCATGATTTTTGTTACTGTCTTTCTGTAGGAGAAACCTACACCTACGACTGGCAGCTGATAACTCATCCTAAAGACTACAGTGGAGAAATGGAAGGGAAACATTCCCAGATCCTCAAACTATCCAAGGTGAATTTGCCTCTTTTCACTTGCAGGGCTAAGGTAGAGGAGCTGACTATTTTCTAAAATCAGTACCATTCCATTATCTGTTCACATTTAAGTTGGAAAAAGTCTTTTGTAAGTGAATCTTCCAAAGTCTGAATGCAGCTGACATCCAGTATTTGTTAGTGAATGATTTTCAAATTTTAATTTATGATAAGAAAACTATCAGCATGGTAGCGATAGCTGAAAATATACACTAAACAGCTTTTAAGAGTAACATAAGGACTTTAGAATTTGGGAGATGAGCTAGGTTATTTGTGGCCACATGACTATATACATTGGCTCAATCTTTTTGGGATTCAGTATAGTTATTAACAGTCATAAAAATGTTTGTGAACCGGGCTCAGTGGCTCAGCCTGTAATCCCGCGCCTTTGGGAGGCTGAGGTGAGTGGATTGCCTGAGCCCGCGGGTT